GCAACAGCCTTTACAAAGGAAATATGGAAGCTACATGGCTTACCAACAGAAATTGTCTCAGACATGCATTCAAAGTTTGCAGGAGAATTCTGGGAATCCCTATGCAAAACACTTAATATAAAAAGAAGGATGTCTACAGCATACTATCCTCAAACGGATAGACAAACTAAGCGAATCAACCAAGTGCTGGAAGGTTACCTACGAAGTTTTGTCAATTATGATCAGGATGACTGGTACCAACTGTTACCTCTAGCCGAACATGCTTATAACAACTCGGCAACCAATGCACACGGGATGATACCCTTCTACACAAACTATGAATTCCATCCACAAACTGAATGGATGAAGGAACACGAGGCGCAAAATCAAGGAGCCACACTATATGCAAACTGGATAAAAACGATCCACAAGCAAGCAAGAGAATCACTCCAACAGACACGAGAAGCTATGGCCAAATACTATGATAGGAAGGCCAAGGAGCAACCTGACTTCAAAATTGGCGATAAAGTAATGATAAACACAAAGAACATTCGTACACGCCGAAAGTCAAAGCAACTTAGTCTTAAATTATATGGACCATTTGTGATCTTAGAGAAACGAGGAAACAACGCCTGCAAACTCAATATCTCAGATCGATGGAACATACACTCAGTATTCCACCTATCTCTAGTAGAACTCTACAGAGAGTCAGTACGCGCAGACTGACAACAACCTCCCAGAGAGCCCGAGGATATTGAGGGCGACTTACAATAGGAAATAGAGAAAATTGTAAGAAGTGAGTTACGCTCTTGCAAAAAGAGAGTACATGGTTACTACCAGGAAGTACGTGAACTATAGTACTTTGTCAAATGGCAAGGATGTTCTGAAGATGAGAACACCTGTGAACCTGCCGCTGGTATAGATAATACAAGGGAAATGGTGGATGAATTTCACCAGGATAATCCGGAAATGTCAAGGCGGACAGAGGAAAGATGATGAGAGAAAGATTTTCCTACCGGGGCCAAGCAAACGCGGAAGGTTTTTTACTCTACTCTCATCGGGTCCAAAAGGAGTTAATGTTTAAAAATTTAATGGTTAAATTATGTTTATGTTAATTTTTTATTTTTATATACCAAAAAGGCAGTCACGAAGTGCCCCGTAGGGGCCTGTTGGTCGCGAGGGAGCTCATATTAGGAATACCAGAACCCGATACCTAGGAACCACCCTAAGTAGGATAACCCCACTTGGAATCAGAATCTCTGGTCTCCAACACCCCCCTCCGGCTCCCTTACGGGGCCCGCGCGTCATCATATATATTAATCTCAGTTGCATCCTGTGACTGTATTACTACAGAATTGAAGGTGTTAGAATAATACCATATACGTTGTCGCTGTCTGTCCGACCAGATCCTGTTCGCAGGATATATGAGAAGGAACCTTCGACTAGGTCTGGGAAGTGGAACAGAGTAATTCCGTCAACTACTCAGAGAGTTACTTGGCTTCCAAGACATAACACCTTTGGTATGGGCCATATGTAACGGGACGATTTCGCACAAAGAAATGGTATCAAATGGTAAAGGATCTCTATTAGAGACCAATACATTTACACCCACCAGAAGAGTCTAGAACTCCAAAAAGACACTACCAAAGAAGCCAACAGACTTCACAGAGTATTGCAACTGGGTTTTGGAATATATCATAGCCATGGGGTAATTCCCAATACTACAATGGTTACTGAAACCTACTACCCAGAGAGCAACCAAGGGTTGCCAACCGAGGGATTAATTACCAATCTGGTGGAATAGCTTCCTGCAAGTTAATAGAAAGTCATCCAGAGAAAGTCTATCTGTTGGGTATGGAGTTACAAAGGATCAAAGTCAGATGACCTACAATGGTTGTAATGACGACCACCTTTGCAGATATAGCCACGGATAAAACTGATCATTTTATCAAAGGCGAAGACAATTAGGGCCAACTCAGTTCAACTTAAGGACTAGGTCATAAGTCTAAAAGACTCTGCTAATCGGGATATTACTATTAGGAACAGTAGGTTTCCTAAGTAGAAATATCGTAATTACCGAAGAGGGTGTGATGGTTTTCAGGGTCCACAGGTGTTTGCACCTTGGAAGAAAACTCGACGTCGCGAATTACAATTGAAGAAGTACATAGTTGTATGATAAATAGATGTAGTCCGCGAACACTCAGACACGGAATATAAATATCGAAGTGCCTCTCAAGCTTTAGGCATCATCAAGCAACGGAGAAGAGACCTTAACAATATAATATTGTTTTTACGATTCTACCCTACTTTACCTATTTTACTTCGCTCCTAGTAGTCATAAACGAACCAAGTAAAGTCTAAGCCTTCCTAGACAATCTCCGTCTACAGAAATGAATCTCGATTGGCCTAGACAACTTTGAAGTCTATCAAGTTGTCTCCGCCTAACACTAGGTGTGGTAAAATAGCTTCTCGTAAAAAGTGACCTCAATCCTGATAGCCCAGATATCAACAGTCAAATCCCACTCTAGTAGGCTACTTACAATAGGAACAAAGGAGTGGTAAAATATCTCCTCAGCCAAGATACTAGTAGTATCAGCTCCAAGAAATCAGATAAAGACAGCGAAAAACCACTCTTATATACTGCTGGGAATAAACACTCAGGAGTAGTAAAAGTTCTACTTGGGTGATATGAGGCCAACCCTGACAGAAGGCGGTGAGTATCATAGTCTAGCTATGGGAACTTTCTTTTATGGATAGAGGAGCAAAAAAATAGAAGTGATAGGAGTTCATCATAGATTTCAGCATAGTGGTCAATGATTAGAACTCACTCTTTCTGGTGTATGAGTTACTATGAGGACTATGAAATCTCAAGTTTGCTGCATCATTTGGTCTTGATACCCATGGTCCAGACCTGTCTTCCTTGGTTGAAGTGGCTTAGAATGGAGCTGGGTTTTTGCAATCTTTTGTATCACTATAACTTATATCTTATCCACTTTTGTCGATTTTAGTTCTTAATTTTTAATTTTTAATTTCTAAATTCTCATTTTTAATAGTGTAAATAATGAGCAAAGAATCGTCTCTACTAGTAATATTGCTATTAGACTGACCACTAGGCAGTTTAATTTAGGAATGACTTACATGGGCCGAACGCTTTCAAGATTAAATGATCGGAGATTGGTGCAAAATCATCTGGACAGATGAAGCAACCTTCAATGTTAGAAGATCATTAGATCGGATGTTTGTGACCTGTACAGCATCAGAAGAATATAATTCTTCCCACTTGCTTCTATGCTTTCAGAAGTTAGAAAAGATACATGTATAAGAGTGCTTTTTTGGTACTAAGAAGGGTCTACTGATTTTTTGAGACAAGTTAGTAATGGGACAGACAATTAAAGTAAAAGGCTACTGTTAGCATATCATTCCTCCATCTTGAAGAGTTTTAGTATCAGGTCTCTCGTGAGACTGAGAACTATGTTTATATCCTTCAAGATGGAGTGAGTGTGCATATAATCAACTATACTGTTTCAAGCCACATTTCATGATCAACGTGTTACCGTCATTTCCAGTTTTCCCAGTTAATGCGGTATATTACTCATGGAGTATCAATTATGAACGCTACCAGCTGGCACTTCGCCTGCTAATTGGAGCAATATATGAGCCAATCGTGTTGTGTTCGCCAGACTTCTCCATAACGTCCAGTTCATGTAGCGTTGCTTGGGCAACCGTTAAGCTAATTCCTAGGTTCCTCCCCGCGACGAGACCTCGCCTCATCTCTCCGCTGTTTATCCCAACTCCCTTGGTTTCAGGAACCAATATCGCATCTCTTTCTCACTTTTCAACACCCTCCATAATAGTAAGAGAATGCTATCTTCAATTCCACTTATAGCCCCTCGAGACGTAAGTGCAGCTTCTCCTGTGCAATCCTCATTCAAATATTTATCCCTACTAAAGTTTGATATTTAGGCACATACCCTTTGGTACACTCCGACCTCAACGTTCTCTTTCACCCCATTCTCCTCCAGCAGCACAACACCCCAATCACTCTTGTCCCCGCCCGTCTCGCAGAACATACATCCAAGTGCACTCCCAAACTTCCAGTCTCACCCCTCAAGATTCAGGCCCCCATCCATTTCCCCGTTGACTCAGCTTGCGCTAGATGAAGAGTCGGTATACCAACGGAAAGTAAATATTCAGCGTTTTGGGGCAACATGGATCAAACCGCCCGGCATACTAAAGACTTATCAGGTTGAGCTCGATGAAGAGAAGGAACGAAGTGAGGCGGAAAGACAGGCAATGATAGAGGACGTGGAAGTTACTGGTGAAGATGGAGCGTTTGATGAGACGGCCGGTGAAATTGCAGTGGAAGGCGATGAGGGCGAAACCGGAGCAGATTTGGACGCGGATATCCCGGAGGCGGACAGTTATGATGAAGACGATGAAGATGAAGACGATGAGGACGAAGACGATCTCGATGATGGCTTGGATCTAGATGGTCATGGGGATGGGGATGAAGTTGATCTAGATGCTGAAGTTCCGGAGGCTGAGACGGAGACTTTGTGGGATGACAGCGATGACGACGAGGATGAAGAGGACTACGAAGATGAGGATGAAGAGGAGGAAGAGGAGGGAACCCAGGGGGTTGATTCTAGTCCCCACCAGGCCATGTACTCTCACGACGAACACTTTGGACCTCCCGATTCTAGGGTCGAGCAGAGACTCAGACAATACCCAAGAAGGTCGTTGATCAGGAGTGACGACGATATGGAGATGGATAGCGATTAAGTTACGCCTTGGGAATGCTACACAGTTACTCGAGTAGTTACCCAATCGCCGTGGACGGCAGAGTTGGTAATATCGGGTTGAAGGTTCCCGTGGCAATGGTTGATTGTATGGTATAGTTTTTGTGAAGCGTGGACGTATCGTGATATTTATCTTGTGACCCTGTTCTTAGTCCGCAATAAAAGTTCAATCGTACCCACTCCGGTCGGGGCTCGTCACTTATCGACACGAGCGATAAAAGGTACACCATTGTAGACTTGTAAATTGCTTTAGATACATACTAGTCATCATCATCCATCAACTCTGCCAACTCTCTCTCCTCCTCCTCTGTGAGGAAACCCTCTTTCCTTTCCTGTACTGGTTCCTCTTCCATCCCTTGCTCCTGTACCCTTTTATCCTCCACGGCTTTCATCAGATCCACGGGTCGCAGAGACCATGTCCGCACTGTATTGTCAATTGATATACTGGCCACCATCTCACCATTGCCGACGATAGCTAAGCCTGTAACCTCTTCGATATGTCCATCATATATGTGATAAAGTTCACCAGTCTGATACCAGGTCAGAACCCGAGACATGTCCTAGTGAAGGGGAGAACCTACACTAATATCCCATATGCGGACTGCTTCATCTCTACAAGCCGTGATAATCCATCTTCCTCTTGGCTCCACAACTACATCGTTAACGTAGTCTGGGTGCCTTAGAACAGCTTCACTACGACAAGTGCCGTTCTTTTTAGTCTCAGTCCGGATATCAATCTTCCGAGCAGTGTTATCCGCAGACGCAGTCCACATCTCCGCGTCTTCTCCTTGAAACCTGATCATGTTAACACTGGTGTCGTGTTCCATGATAGTTTCACTGCTCTCGGTAGTTGCGCTGACATTTGCGTAAGGGATCTCCCAGCGCTTGATATCCCGCTCGCTACCACCGGAATAAATAATAGCGGCCTCGGAATTTGAAGTAATCGGATCTACTGCAAGTGCCCTCACAGCTCTATTATGCCCCTTCAAAGTATTCAATCTCTGACCTGTCCCGGCGTCCCAAATTACGATTGACGCATCGCTTGACCCAGAGAAGAGTAGCCCACCCTCGTGTTTCGGAGAAGGAACAAAGAGAAGGCTCTTTACGAAATCTGAGTGACCGGCAAAAGTACGAAGTTTCTGACGTGTTTCTGTCGAATATGTGATGATCGTTTTATCCCATGAGCCCGTAAATAGAATCCCTTGAGCAGTATTAAGTGCAAGGGAGGTTACTGGTGCCGTGTGACCCTTGTAAGTGCATGACTTATCGCCCGACTTTTCATCTGTCAGCTCAATTCAATGTATGTTTCACTAGACTCATAGTTTTTACAGACTTCAAGGTCTACTCTACGCGTGATTCCGCCGCTTTCGGCGATATAAACACGCATTGAAGAGGTTAAATCCGGAATAATCGAAAGGAGCTTAGAAGCCAAGGGTATTGGAGAACCATTCTTATTAGAGGACTTTGCAGAGCGTCGTTTGGCGTTAGCCAGAGCTGTCCTGGGTGAATGATTAGTTAAGTTCCAAATAATTGTAAGGAGGATGTTTAGCATACTCAGTCTGAAAGAAATGGCCCGGATCATTTGACATCGACATCTTGGAAATTCTCCGAGTTGAACTATGGTACAAATGCAGTGCGCTAAGGTCACTTCTCTAGAAGGGTTACTGTACAATGGTTGTGCGGGACAGGCGAGAAAAGGCTTGGATGTGGGGTTCGGAGCGATGTCGTAGAGCGGGTAACAATCTGTGACACAATTTCTAGGCATTGGGCGGGATCACGAGCAGATAAGGTCTATCGCGCCTTCCATGAACGTTCCCCTCTACTCTCTCCCCACCCTTTCAGGGCAGTCGCCTCAAGATCAGCCATACCCAAACCCCGGTGTGGTAGTCTCCTTTACAAACTATCACAGCGCCCCATCCCTACTCCGGCCAAAATGCAGAGCACATCGAGGAAAAAAGTACCATCACACCCTCACTTTCCATCGGTGTGCGCCATTGGGCTAATTTTCTAAAGAGGTACTTGCTTGATGAACTTATGATTGATATCCCGTAAGACTTGATGCGATTTAGCTACCTTGGCTACCGCCTAGGCTACCATCGAGCAAGGTGCTAATCTTAATGCTGCAACAGCCGTTACGACCCAAGGGATGACGACCCCTCAGAAGATAAGGCCCTCCGAACCCTAAGGTTGATGAGAGAAACTCATAAACAACAACGGTTTGAATCCTCTTCCACATGTGCTATTTTGGTTGCCGATTGAGCCTCTCTAATATGACCGTGGTACTAGTGACCGACTTCTTGCTAGACACCTGCGAGAGAGTGAACAGTGGAAGAAAGACGCGGTAGCCTCTATTGATTGGGATAACACAGAACTTGTTGCAAATGTACCTGGGAGCCCCCCCACCATGTTGGCATATTCAGTCGATCAGATATCCACCCCTGAGGCCGAACAGGCTCTTGAGATCATGCCGGCTGAATACCGCCATACCATAGTGTCCATCAAGCAATTTGACCGCCCGCCCAACAGCAATTCCAATAGAGCGATGCTGGACTCTTACAAGCTTGCTGGCATGTTTGCCGACGAAGGTGTACATATGAGGCAGCGAATGGTACGGGAGGAACAGGACTTGAGGACTCTTCAGGAACATGAGAAGGCGCCATACTACGAAGTCCTGAGGCGACAAGATCCTGAACGTTACAACGCAAAGGAAGGAGTGCCTCTTCCTACAAAAGCTGGAGCAAACCAATCCCACCACTTGAGCTTGAGGGCATCGGGAGCCCGCCGGGATTCTGGACCTTCCCATACGTTAAGCAGTAGTAATGCGCCCGGAGTCGGCACGGCCACTGACTATTTTGGGCAGAAAGGTGGCCCTGAAGCTGTTGGATCCTCGGGAGCCTCTGCGGCCAAGAGTCGCGACCCACGCCCTAGACCTTCTATGGCCACTCCACTTGCAATTCAGGAAGGCGCCAGTGCTACTGCAGGCAGACAATCCGGCGGCTTTGGTGCTGGGCCACCTTCAGGTCACCCGTTCAGCGACTCAAATCGCCTTTGGGGATTCGCCAGTCCCGGTTTCGCACTCGCAAAGGAGTCACCTGGCTCACCAATGCCCCCTACTAGCCCTCTTACCCTCAACCCTTTCGACAGGAGGAACTCATCGGCTTCGAGCCAAGCGGCGATAATAAACAACCTTAGGAATGTGCCTGACGACTCAGGGGAGGCCGCTTACTTGAAGCGGATCCTAATGACCCAACAGCAACAAGAGCAACAGCACCATTCCAACCAACAGCCGCCCCGTTAGAAGACCTGCCGATACTGCCCTTCTAAGTCCGAGCCAACACGAGGGGGCCAGGAACCCCCCCCCCCCGCTATTAATGGATCGTTTATGAGAGATATGTTTGTTTATGAAAGAAATTGTAATGTAGTGTGGATAGTAGATTAATCATGTCAGATGTTTCAGGCGTCCCCAGCCGGCACCCCGGACGCGCCGACTACTCCTACCCCACTAGTGTGCAAATACAGTACATTGAGCGTTTACAAGTGTTATAGTTTGTGCGGTCTGCTCGTGTAGCCTATGAGATAGTATCTGATAGTCATGAGTACCGGTATTGTTTCTATTTATGAATTATACTCAGGAAGCAACTGCGAGAGGAAAGGGAGGTATGGGCGCACTAGGGCACTCTTTCTAAACGTCTCGGTGGAGAGAGTGTTTTGATAGGCTTGAGTACGGTATTGGAGAGAAACGTCGAAGCTTTGGATCAAGTTGGCACCAGCCGGTTCCAATGATTTCAGCGCAGCCACAATACTCCCCCATCTATAACTCTTTCTTGCCTGTAAGTATATATAGCCTGGGGGGTGCAATACCAAGGCAATAAGAATATCAGTAATGAATTCTATTGAGCACGAATTTTGTCGTGCAGCTATCGCTATACCAGCGCGCAGTATTGTGTTGTGCAATAATGTACTTATACAAGCTGCCGCACGCTATCAGTTATCGTGGTTGATTGTATGCATGCAGTTTCAACTGTCATTCTATATCCGCCATGCCTGTACTATAGAAACCGGTATCATATATTATATCCTTTTATATTTCTTGTTTTTTTCGGTGGTAATGCTGGTGGACATCGCGCGCAGAGCTATGGTCCGTCACTGCATTTTAGTCATTGGTATCGTAGCCTTATGCTGGTGTAGAATATTTAAGGCTTATTGTTGTGGCCTTAAAGCTATCACCTGATCATTTGGTAGAAAAATTTGGTGCGGGGTGCCGTAGATTACACATTAACATCCATCTTCGCCAAAAAATGACCTCGAATACAGTGTTATTATCATACCTCTTTGATTCTTTGGTTCTCATTTTTTTCATAAGTTCGTTAATAGAAACATAAGCGGGTCACGTTGGCTGTTCTAGTAATACATACCGGTACTCCAATAATGTCAGCCCGACAGTTATCCCTCCTTTGGAAAATACATATAGAGCACAGTATTGTGGAACAGGAGGGAAAAATGAGTGCTCGAGTAAATTGTGGCTTCCTTTTTTCTCAATATCCTTACCCTAGTCCGTGTCTCCCCCCGCGCATCGCGGAGCAATGAAGAAAAAAAAGAAAAAGCAGTCGTTAAAATCATTACCGTGCTAAGGGAGTCCTCTTTTTTTGCGGGGCTATGGATGGTAGGTATAAGTATCATACCATACAGGTAGCTGATCTCCGATCCCCCTAAGGCTTTGGTTGGGGTCCACGCCCTTCGTTCGTTTGTTATCTGCAAGGCAGGTCTTGTGCCTCTTCTTCTTTTCTCTCTCACCTTCCTTTCCTCCTTCTCCTTCACAACAACAATCCTTCCCACCACCAAACTGGTTTCTACCACAGATTTACCAGCTCTTCTCACCCATCGCCAATTCGTGTTCGGGTATCTTTCTATCTGTTCTGTTTGTCCCCCATCCTCTCTAGTGTTAGATTGAACCTTCCCTGGTTCTTCTCTCGACCCCGCACTTCTCACCGCTGGTGAGGCTCTTAGCTAACCGGTGTTACTGTGGAACGAATAGCTTGAGAAATACTTCACCTTGACGCAATGTCCTCTACTACTGCAGTCACACAACCAAATGCCTCCCGTGGAAAGAAGAAGGGCAAAGGAGGTGGGGGAGGAACTCCATCCCCTGCCCCCGAATTAACACAGGACAAAACGGCCGACTCTACAAATGATGTGAAGGCTGGTGAGAAGGGAGAGAAAGAGTATTTGAAGTGGATCACGAAGTAAGTCTCGAGCATCTCCTCATCAAGTTCTTCGTGGCCTAAACTTTTTTCGGTAGGCAGCTCAAGAAACACACCAAAAAACTTGTAAGTGTTCAGACCCATAGTGAGCCAAGCATATCATGCCATAAGCCCAAATTTCTGCCAGCTTTTCTATTATGCTACATATTTATCGCAGCGATCTGCTAATCATTCCGGATGCTAAATAGGATAGTATCGCAAAGTCCGAAGAGAAGATCAAGGACCTTCCTGAAGAGGAGAAGGCTACTACCAAGATCATCAACGTCGACGAGCGCAATAAAATCATTGGAAAGCCCGTTACTCTTGCCGTATACAAGGAGCTCAAGGAATGTTACGAAAATCTTTTGAAAGCTTCTGAACTGGAAGACAAACGCCTGGAAGCCGAGAGAGTTGAAGCTCAGGCAAGGCTCGAGAAGGCTGTTGAAGAGGCAAAGGCTGAAGCGCAGAAAGAGACCGATGAGGCCGCCAGAGCCAAGATCTTGACTGTCGTTAAATTTTTGAGACTTGCGGGGCATCGCCGAAACAATAAGAGTGTCGACGAAGATGAGGATGAAGCCATTGAGAGAGTCCTCGTTCTTGTGTATGGTGGTGACCAGAGCGCTATCGATGCCTGCCTCAACCTTGCTAACGGCTCCGAAGAGCCGGTCGACGGCTTTCAAGTTTCTTGTAAGAATACCCTCCATTTTTCTGCTCCTATGCTATGCACGATGCCTACGGCCGTAGGGGCTGAGTTGGTTTTCTGGTGTCTAACCTCCTTCACACAGATTCACGCATTAAGGAAGTTGCCCATGCTCTCAAAATTCAAGGTGTTGACGAGGAGGATGTTGAAGAGACCCTGGAATTTGCCGAGGAGCCGGAAACCGAACAACAGCAAGATCAACGAGAGGAACTACCTACTTACGAGGCGTCTGCTGGAAATGAACTCGACCTCGCTGCGCAGGACGAAAAAGTGCCCCTCTACACCGAAGGCGCCGCTGAGGACATGCAAGCCCCTCCCCAACAAGCCTATACCAACGGAAACGAACATGAAGCACCTGCGACTGCCCCCGGCGCATCTATCGCCGACGGTGATGCCACTAATTACGCATCCAAGGAGGTTGAATTGGAGGGCATCGAGGACCAAGTACAGGCACAGATTACCGGAGAAACACAGGCACAGGATGCACCAACAACACAGCCTGCTAACGGTGAACCAACCGGAGACTCTTGGGCAGATGATCAACCAAAGACCCCAGAGGTCAGCGATGAGTTCCAGAATGTTGAGCGCCGTGGTAGGGGGCGTGGGTATCGCGGTCAAGGAAGAGGGCGTGGACGTGGCTACAGAGGGGATAGAGGTGGTTACCGAGGGGATAGAAGTGGTTACCGCGGCCGTGGAGGTCGCCACCGCGGCGAAGGAGGGGATCCCGGAGACCGTCCACACCGTCCCAGACCGAAAAATACTGACCGCCAACCCCAACCCCAACAAGCCACCACATCTACCTAACCGGTTGGAGTTGATCATGATTTAGTAACTAACTGCATTGTACTCATATCCTGTTCTACTACTGTCTGTAATTTTCCCTTGCGATTGATATCTCTTTGTGTTTTCTGTTCTTGCTTCACTTTAGTGGGGAAGGGTTGGGGGTACAGAAAAATTTGAAATCTGCGGGGACTGGCCATGTTTTCATGGGGAGATGTAGGTGGTTTGGCTGTGGGTGCATCGTAGTCGCTTTTAGTTCGGAAAACAACCAAAACGAAAAGTTTCTTCCTTGAGCTTCTCCCTTTTTTCTCCTTTCCTCCTTTTTCTTTTTCATTTGTGCTCCAGATAAAACACAGGATATGGAGGACAAAAGTTTGGGGATACGGTTTTGGGAAAGGCGTGTTTTGTATTATTCCCTTCTTTTGCTGATCTTGATCTCTACCTCTTTTATATCTATCTGGGTCCCACTTTCTTTAGTTTTATTATATCCTTTGTCTATTTTCCTTTTCCCCCCATTTCCCCTGAAGGGCCCGCTTCAAAAGCTATCGGGGGGGGGAGCATGGCGTTTCAAAAGTTGGGACACTTTATTATGGCGAGGATGATTATGTTTGTCATGACAGCGGTGATGACAACAACGAATTCTGGTGTGATACAACACGGAGGTGGGAAAAAGGTGCCATTTTATGATTACTTTAGCAAGCAAAAGTTGGAAAGTCGAGTATACCGTCCTGAGATAAGTCAATCAGATATGGGTCACTATATATAAGTACCTTGTAGACCGTATGATGCCTTGAGACAAAAGAAGTAGCTTAGATAGCTAAATTATGTAGCTAGCTCCCGGGCAGTAGTCCATTTAGTTATTTGACCATCAGCTTTCATTATTCAGTCAGTATTCTATTCATTAAATTAAATATTAGGCACATATTAGTTAAGCCAATGTAACTTATCACACAAATGAATAGGGTATCCGGAACACTTATCGCATGGGCCACCCCCTACCTCTTTAGATGTGGGGTAGTGCACATAAGTGCACTCCCGGTACTTGGTACTGCGACACCCAGTCCAGGACCCCGCGGGAGGGGAGAGTCCGAAGTTCTCGATACACCAACAAGGTACAGTACGGTACGACTGTATTTTTTCAGGCACCAAATCGATTCTCAAGTTGTTAACTAGGCATACCCCCCAAGATATGATACAACATCACGTTTATACTCGAGTACAAAAGCCACGACACCACCAGTGCAGCCCAGCACAGTGCCATAGGAGCACGACTAGAAGCTCCCTGGATCTATGATATCATACTCCTTCCCCTAGCTTACCCATCCATCTATCATCCAGCAGCATATTAATTACGCCCGTAGAGCCACCTATCCACCACCCTATAAGTGAGATCTACAATAAGTATTAATATGATAGCAGAGGATCTGACAACCAACCAACGGACTGCCCTTAAATTTATAGGTTAAGTAAATCAACGTTCGAAAAAAAAGGAAAAAAAAGGATCTGGACAAAAAAGTAAGGGCAGAGTAAAGATCTACAAAGCTCGGCCGATACAATAACGAAGATTGTGCACTTTCTGCGGATGAATGATGAAATGGAGGGTTGTGTGCGAGTGCATGGTTTAGCGGGGGTTTCTTTTTTTTTGCTAGGTAAATAAATTCTAAAAGCATGTACTGTACCGGTACTCGAGTACCGGTATGACATGGGATGGATTGGATTGGGCTTGGCGGTTGGATAGGTTGTCTCGATAATAATGTGTGCTTTGGTGGTGCTTGGGATGACGGGATGGCCAATAGGGTAGTCTATCATGATAGAGAGGTATGTACAGTACTGTACTATACGGTACGGCGAGTACTGCCCCAACAGCTCTTGTACGAGTACGTAGATACCGCATTGACTGTTCAAATTCGACCCGCCGCTACTGACTGCTAAACCACTTGAAGTTAGCTGTTCTAGATATAATTGGACTTTAGAAAGTTGTTTAATACATATTACATGTTGAATACAGATAGAATTTTAATCATAAATAGAAATAAACAAAAAAAGAAAAAGGGAGGGGGGGGGGATAGGAGAGCAGAAAACAACAGCCTATTAAACCTCCAAAGCCTCAACAATATCAATACAAATATTGAAGTCGTCTGCTTCATCTAACTTCCAGACCTCCTCCTCTCTTCTAACTACTTGAGTCGTATTAATACCAATACTATCTGGTGCAATGTTCAGTGCAACTCCGGTTTGTGTTTCGCCTACTTTTAGCTTAGAATAAATAAATAAATAAACAAAACTCCTAAGGTTATTTAAATTGTATTTTTTAAATCTTATGTTATTATATAGTAAATTTACTAACCTTATGATATCTCCAGAGATAGGAGAAATTGAAATAAGGAATCTTGACCTACTAATCCTATGCCAGTTCTTTATGCCTCCACAGTAGCAGTTCCATCACCAGTCTGAGTAGCTACACTGGCTGCCATGCTGGCAGTAATTGCAGTTCTTACTACTTGCACCTGTCTCCACCCTCTACTATCAGCATTTCAGGCATTCCAAGTACCATGTCCAGAACTTCAATTTTGTTGTCCACCCCCTCACTAGATTCTTCACTACTCAATTGAGTCATATACCAGTTTTCAATACTAAGATTTTGTATCCCTTTTACTGATAATTCATGATCTGCTGACCCATCAATCAGTAAAGACAGTCTAAGTTGCCGGAAACAGGATTGAACAATAGTCTGTCATGTTAATGAAAACTCATTAAGTTAGCTGACTGTAATGATCCCTTTCTAGATAGTTAGTTCTTGGCGATGGGAAACGATACTTATCGTTTCTGTTTCCTTCTTTCTTTGTCTTGCGATAGCTCTAGATCCCTGCCTACATTACTGATAGTACAAGACCTTTGTCTTCTATCAGAAACGCCTATCGTAAGCTTTCTCTAACTCGTCTTCGTGACGAGTGCTTCTTGGCGTAACGATAATGTTACAATAAAGATAAAGTTCGTAAAGGTGTTTTATATTCGTTAAAGTCATATGTAGGAAAAGTACTTAGAACAAAGTATGAAGAACCTATCTTCCTCGGCCGCATCGGCCTCCTTATATAGTATTCTTCCCACCCGTAGTCATGTGACCTAAAGTGGTCACATGTGCGAAACCAAATCAGAACAACTAATCATGTGACCAAAGTGATCACATGCTCAAAATCCATGACCTTATAACAAGGTCATGTACAAAACTCATAAACCAATCATAACAAATAAACCAGTCATATGACTCTAATGAGTCATATGCGCAAAACCAATGACCTCATAATGAGGTCATGTGCAAAACATTAATCATATGCACAAGGCTTACCCGCAAGGCATACTCGCAAGGCATACTTGTCAGGCTCACGTCCCATGACTCATACTTGAGCCATGTGCGAAAGCATCACAAATCCCACACATAACAAATCATATGACCCTAATGAGTCATATGTGTGAAACAATAACATACCTGTGACTCATAACTATGCGTCACGTGAAAACCCTTTCCCTACTAAGCCACATTCGTGATATTAGCTCCCCTCCTCCTAAGCCTGAGTTCCATCAGGCCTGTTCTCCCAGTTTCAATAGTTCCCGTCCTGCCGAGCGCATGGTCCTTCTCAGCTTGTGGAACGTTTCATCTGCCGTCCTCCATCTGACCTTCACCGATTCAAGAGTCAGGTTCGCCATTTCGATCGTGTGCTGCTGATTGTCGTTCAGCTGTCTTATCTTCGCGATTGTTTTGTCGTTTGCTGAAATTGTGGCCTCGGCTTGGCCTAGTTGTTCTCGGAGTCCCCGGATCTGCCTGTGTAGGCTCCTGACATCCGGTTCCGTGTCTGCGGAGGGGTTTTGGGCCCCTCCTTCCCTGGACTGCGTCCTCGCGGCCCATGCCTTTCTGGCATCTTCTCCTTCCAACTCTTTTTTACTTCCATCCTTCCGCGGGTAGAATCCTGCAGATATTTTCTGTGCCCTGTGCATCCTGCACCCATTTCTGAAGCATTGTTGCCAATGCTTCAGAACGTGGTCCGGGTGTGGGCCACGCTTTCGACATTCCCTCGGAAACCATCCTGAGCCTTCTTTGTCACTAAAGTGTGTTTGGCAACCGTCATTGTAGCATACCGTCGATGACATGGCGTTATGCTTTGCTTTTTTTTCCCTTTCCTTGAGTTCTTCGTCGGTTGGCCCCATGAATCCGAATTCAGGGCTGGTGGGTGTAGTTTGGCGGGGGCTATCACCCCAGCCCTCATGTTGCTGCAATGGCGTGGGAGTCTTTCCCTCGCATTTGTCTTGGTTGAACGTGATCGTCACCTAGGCTGGGCTTGCCTAGGTATCGCTGGTGGAAGGTTGAGATGGCATGTTGTGCGTTTTCGAAGTTGTGTGCGAAGTACCAAGTTTTATCGTGTTCAGGAGAATATCCTGTCCACTTGGCTTGGTATTGGAGGTGACCGTGGAAGAAGCGGGAATCGACTATTTCGTCGAGCTCGTATTCTGGTTCTCCGTCGAGTTCAATCGGAGGGGGAGGAATAAGTGTTTGTGAAGGAAACTTATTGTCGTTGTGTAATTCGAGAAGTGAGATGTGGAATGTATTGTGTATTCGCATTGAGGGGGGAAGGTCGAGTTTATAAGCTCAACTGCCTACTTTTTCCAATATCCTGAAGGGTCCGATTTTCTTGTAGTCCAATTTCTTTGATGGTCGTGTCGTATGGATATTGCATGGTATTAGCCATACCATGTCTCCCGGTTGTATGTGCAGATCCGGTCTTCGGTGCTTATCGTATTGTTCTTTTTGCCGTTGTTGTGCTTAACTCATCTTGTATTGTAAGGTTTCATGTATTTTTCACATATACGCTTTCTCTGGTATGACATCATTAATCATATGATATGTGGTCTGACTTTGTGGATGTTGTCCGTAATTCGCAAAGAATGGTGTTGTGCCGATCGTTTCTTGTTTTCTGTTGTTGTATGTGAATTCGGCCATTGATAACAGCTTGTACCAATCATCTTGTTGATAGTTGACGTAAGACCTTAAATATTGTTCGAGTATTGCATTTACTCGTTCCGTTTGTCCATCCGTTTGTAGGTGGCACACTGTACTCATTCTGTTTTGTATTCCCATTTCTCCGGTTACTTTTTTCCATAGTCCCGATGTGAATAGTATTCCTCGATAGGTGATGATATTCTTGGGTAGGCCATGAAGTCGGAAGACCTCTCTGAAGAAGGTTTGTATAAAATCTCTTGTGTTGATATCTTTTCTAACCGGAATGAAATGGCTCATTTTGGTCAGACGATCCACCACGACCAGGATGCTATCACAATTTTCCAATGCTGGTAGGTCCATGATGAAATCCATAGTAATTGCTTCCCATGGTTGTTCGGGAACTTTGTTTGATTTCAGTAATCTGTATGATGCGTGTTTAGCAGTTTTTGTTCTTTGGCATATGTCGCAGTTTTTGACATATCGTTTGACGTCTTCGCGCAGTCCTGGCTAATAGAATGACCTCGTAATTAATTCCGTGGTTTTAGCCATTCCTCCATGTCCTGCCGTTCGGATATCGTGG